ATATGTTCATATTCACTCTGCAAGATTTTCTCTCAGTTTATCTCTCTTGACGTAAAATGTACATATAATCTCAATGACTTTTTCACAACTTGCAGCTGAATTTATCGGCCGATGAGCCAAAGACACTTTTACTTCATTTATACAGCAGACAAAACTAAGACCACAACATGACCACATTATGGATAAAATGACTTGACTCAGAAAACCTCCATCTTCACACCTCAGCAACCTCTTTCTGGTAATTTGCTCCCAACAGGGAAACTTAATACTTGGAGGAAGTGTATCCTTTTGCTTCCCTTGGGAACACAGCCAGATGACAAAAACAACCGCAAACTATGTGTTAAACTAAATAAACAGCTCTGTGCAAATGATGTGTAAAGGCTTTAGAAAGGCACACGCATTCTTGTCCCCAGTCCTTCCATTACTTATAGTAAGCATTGAAGTTCCAAGCGTGATAAATTTTATATGGGTTAAAGTAACCCCGATTTATTATTGCTGGGTAAACACAGTTTTAACTTCCGAAAGCACTTCGGAATGCGTGGTATCCACTGTGCAAAATGTGCACATGAATAGCAGTTTTTTCAAGACTTATGTTTCAAAGGTTGTTTTTGTAGAAAGGTGGATTGTAATATGTCATGTGCATAAAAATGTCACAGATCTATGGGAACGCAAGCCAAACTTCTTGATCAAAAATATGTCAGCGATGTCCTTTTATTTAAAGGCCAGTTCTGATCAGCCAATGATTTTGACAGTTGAAAGCATGCACTGAAAAGAAATGTGCATAATGGAAAGCATATGTGCACACTTTTACCATAACAGGAGCACACATCTGTAATATAATGTATACTATTGTATGTAATATAAGCTGGATAATTGTCAAGACGCATTGGAAAGGCAAGTTCAGTATATCAGAATGTGTGATGCCACAGAATGCTTTTGAAAACAACTTTCAGGGCTTTTAAAATGCGATTTATGAAAACAATCCCGCTGCTTTTGGAATGCAAAATGTTTTCAGGCCATTATAGGGCACGTGGAAATAAATGGAGACATTTTGATGCAGTCTAAAACTCTCATGGGCTGACGGAAATTAGACCTCAGCGCAGAGAATGTTTTTCATACTGCAGGTAGGAATATATTTTATTCACTGTTTGTAAATAGGACATTACACAGTACTTTATGTGTAATGACAATAATGACAAATATATACTAAGAGATTTTGAAGAATTCGTCTAGTCTTCTCCCAGTTTCACCTTGGAAGATAGAGATGAACATTTTCCATGAACTCTGTACTTTATATGAGTCAGTGTATTTTAATTTATAAAAGGCTGCATGAAAATGTGGGACAATAGATGTTTTATGACCGTGTTTAATTGGAAACCATAGCCTACCACATACAAAGAAAAAATAATGAATGCTAATCATAATTAAGTTTTCACAAACTGAATGCTAATTAGTGCCATCATTATCTTTCATATGACTGGAAACTGCTCTAGAACAACAGTGATAATATACATGTCCCAAAGAGACCAATGTGTTTAATGATATTTGATATTGCTAGGCCTATTAGTTATGTTTGAAATAAAATAATAAATGTTGCACCTCAGTTGGTAGTATAATGATTGCTAATCAAACATTTATTAAACTCTTAATTATCCAATTTAATCTAAGGCATTACCCAGTGATGTAATGAGTTGGAGATAAGCTCCCTTAAAGCACTGGTTTGAAATTGGATTGAAACGGCTCAAAGAGATCTCGTTTCAGCATTTTCTTTTGGTATTTTCTTTTTTTTTTCTGTAGCACATCAGGAATGTCTGCCATTCTTGACTGAGTGGCTATGGAGTTTGGATTGGCTTGACAATGCTGCTTTTAGCAATAGTTATGTTGCTGATTTTTTAACAAGCACATACCTTGGCTAGTATGACTAACAAGCAGATTTAAGAACTGGTTTAAAAACAATGGTCATAGAAGTTGTCAGTTCCTCCAGGTAACACGGGGCCTGGTATTTTTAAAGTTATCTTGGGATTTACGCTATGTGCTTTGGGACCATCGGTGCAGAATGTGTGAAATGTCCGAACTGTAGCTGCACATGCTATATATAGCTGGTCAGCTTACCACAGTATTGTTTCCCAGCTACAGTATGGGAATCCCAGTCTATGCATTTCACATTATACAGCCAAAGTGAAGTGAAAATGTGTACTTAAGTAACAGAGCTCAAAATAATTAGAGTAGTAAAATTTATTGAGGTAATAAAATTTAGTTCAATGACATGAAGTAATACATTCTAATAAACCTGTGGTTGAATGCACTGGGAATCTGATTCAGCTTCCTATCTGAAACAAACCCAGGCGTATAGAGGAGACTGGAGAATGACCTGCTCTCCAGAAACATATGGAGAAAATTTCAGCAAGGCAGACTTCTGCCTCTTTATATTTTTTAAATAACCGGGGAAATAAGCTGAAATTCACTGGGGGAATAGCTCACTGGTATTATTTTTTTTAAATGAGAAGTGTTTTAAAACTGCAGTTGAGATCTTCAACAAGTATTCTTGTGTTTCTGTTTCATTTGCTCCTAATGTAAGTGATGCATGAATAATCCTAGTGGATTAAAAACTGTTTTAAACTTTCTTTGACCCTCTCTCCTTAATCTTTATTTGGAAGAGGAAGCGACTTTACACATCACTGCTTTGCATTTTAGTTTTTAATGGGATTCACACGAAATAAGTGCAGTGACATCCATTCTCTATTTCTTTCTTCATTAAATATCCAGAAATCAGTTGGAATTAAGTTCTTTTTTCCTTCTACTAATTTAGGAGTTCTAAAAAAGACAGTTTATCTTTTATTATTTATTTTTCTACTCCCAAGAAAGAAACTTCTGTGGTCTGAGAGCTTTATCTACTGTAGCTTGTCATCCTCTGAAGCACTTCTGGGCCTGCAACTGAATGATTACAGTTAGACCTGCATTAAAAAAAAAATGCAAAGACAAGACCTTATGTTCACACAAAAAAGTAGTGTGCCAATAAATTAATTTGGAACTTATTTTCAGAACTTTGTTTTTGTGTTTAATGTAAATGATACCCGGGCCCTATTTTAGATTTCCAAAGATTCAGAATGTAGTGATTGCTCATGGAGTTTTTCAGTAAGAGATTAAAAAACAGTGCTTGCATCTCCAATATCAGGACTATCAGGACGTTGCTTATTCCTGGTGGGGATCTCTGGAGCATCTACTTTACAGGAAGTAGACGAGGGATGCCAGTCCACTGCAGTGCAGTCCCATTAAAGACACCCCGCCGCATGTCATATGGGTGTGGGGAGAATGAGAGAAACTCCCCACATCAGGTGCTGCAGGCTGGACTCAAACCCAGAACCCGAGTGCTGTGAGTGGGCAGTGCGACCCCTCATGCACTACAAAGAAAGCTAAAGATTGTGATTATGTTAAAGGTATGGGATACAGAACTGGAGAGATCTGCAGAGGCGTGGGCAGAAACGTGCTTGTGGGAACATGGCCCAGCTAGCCTTCTTCCCTCTATTGGACAAAACCTTGGAGCTCACTGGGGCAGGTTGGTGCAAAGATACTTCAGGATAGTATGCATTATCTTTCTAAATGGATCATCGAAATCAATGGTCAAGGCTTCATTCATTTTCAAAATGGTTCCTGTCAACAGGAATGAAGGGTGTTGAAGATTAAGAGGCATTTCACAAAGGTTCAGTGCTATGCACTCAAAAAAGCTTTTATCTTGAATATAGCATGCTGCAGAAAACTGAAAAATACTGTTTAAATGCAGAGTAATGCTGCTGTTTAATAATACTAAAATGGCATAAAGTTGCTATATTTTATGTTGTAACTAATACTCCATTGTGGAATGTGGTTTAAAAGAGCAAGTTGAGTTGAATTCTATGGTGAAAACATTTCTGTTGGGTTGGGGCTTTTTTCAGGTGTGAGGGAGAGAGAGAGGAAGTAGGAATTCTACAGTGAAAATGAACAGAATAGCCTAATACAAAATATGTAAAATGTTGTGCCTTTCGAAAGTAAACACTACCTTGTGTTTTGTAATTTTCTTATAAAACCCATAGGTGCGTCTTTTTCCCATTCATCCTAGATACCGGCCCCCTTCATTTCATGTTCAGGCCTGGTACGATGAAGTGAGAGACTACACCTATCCTTACCCCCAGGAATGCAACCCCTATTGTCCCTTCAGGTGCTCTGGGCCTGTCTGCACTCACTACACACAGGTAAATAGCATTATAATACATAGAACCACTCCCCACAAAACCTTTTATGTGCTCACATGCTCCATTTATGGGCTGCATGGTGGTGGTGCGGCAATTGGCTGGCTCTTGGGCCCTGGATTTCATTCTGGCCCGGGGCACCTTCTGTGTGGAGTTTGCATGTCCTCTGTGTCACCATGCGTTTTTCCAGGTGGTCTGGTTTCCATCCAAAGGCATGCTGTTCAGGATAATTGGCATCTCTTTAAATTGCCTCCCCTCCTCCACCATCTGCCCTGAGATGGACTGGTGAGCCATCCAGATATATGCGCTTTGATGGGTTAGGCCCTGGCTCATCTCAGTGATCAAAGGACACTACAGTTTCTGAAAATGGATGGATGTCCCGTTCTTTTACATTCCTAGACAAAGATGTTGCTGCTGCTTTGTCATGTGGTTGTTAACAATAATTCCTAGCTTTTATTTTGGGATTCACTTTCCAAGCAGTCTCAAAGCACTTTATCTGCAGATGATATGAAGCACCCATCTTAAAGCACAACAGCAATTATAATGCTTACAAAAAGTGTTGTCTTTTCCCATTAATCTAATGAAACATAATGTAAACTTTTGTATATGTTCCGTTGATAGTGCTTTTAGTGTTAGGTACAGTAAGCTGTATTTACTGTTGTGGTATATTTCTTGTTTTTTTTTTTTCTCATGGTGAAGCAAAAGCATGCAACAGTAGTAGACAAAAAAGATAATTCACAACCCCCTTTTTTTTTGTTAGGTAGTTTGGGCAACCAGTAACCGGATTGGCTGTGCTATCAACTTGTGCCACAATATGAACATCTGGGGACAGATCTGGCCTAAAGCAGTCTACCTTGTTTGCAATTACTCTCCAAAGTAAGTGGGAGAAACAAAAAACCTTGAAACTTACAATGTGTTTTAATCTATTTTTTCTGATCTTTTCCTTTTCTTACAAGAATTGCATTTAACAATAATAAATTGAAGTGTTTGCAACTCTCCTAAGTGCTTCAGCCAGTAAAAGGAGTCAGGTTGCTATATGGAGTTGATAAACAGAAGAAACTTTCCTTTTATATTCCTCATCTCATTGCATTAATAAAAATGTGTTTTTAAACTTTTTTAAAAGTTCAGGAGGAAGTTAAGTGGTCACCTTGGACTTAAGCTCTCTTATGTGCTGTATATGTATCTCATCTGATGAGTACCCTTTGTGTACATCTTTTCTCATACTCCTCCCTCTACCCCATCTTCACCCATGTAGCTGCCACCCTGTTTCATTCCTCGCAAGAGGGAGGAGATGTTATCACTTCAGCAGCCCAGAGAATTAACGCCATACACTGATATTAAGTACACTACCCCTTTATATGCCTTGTCACATTAAATATAATTTGACTTCTGAAACCGAAGGCTTTGGCAGCTCAAGCCATTAGCTGTCTATGACAATAATTTCCCAGGTGACAGTGCACTTCTGGTCATCTGCTGCTCGGGATCAGTGGGATTGAACAGGCTTAAGGATCCTTAATGTGCCATCCAACACAAAGCACTGTAACTTAGTGGGCTCCTGTCTTGCTTCTCTCTTCCTCTGAATTCTACCTCTCCTGCATACACTGTCGGGAAAAGTTACTTTTGAAAACTTATCTGTGAAAGGGATTACTTTTAATAAGTTACAAATGGCTGTGTGAAAATAATGTTAAAAAGACATTAGTTACAGTGATGTGCATAATGGGAATAAAGGAATACATTACCTCTAAAAAGGAATTTTCTAAACTTATTAATTAAACAATGTAATCCAAAAGTAACATCTAACTGTAACATATGACTTTTTGAAAGTAGCATCACCTAATGCTGTCTGAAGACAATGTGGGACTTGCAGAGAATATTTTAGTCAGAAGCATTAAGAGTTTTAATTCATCCCTGACAACTGCAAAACAGGTGGGGGTAGAAAAATAATTGTCTGATAGAAGAGTTTAAGTAGAAACAATTTTGGTAAAATAACATTATACACATCATTTTTTCCTGTAACAATTATCCCTACTTTCCCTTTGTGAAATTTCGGTTGAGCTAGAGTTGAATGGGGCTCCTTAACTACCACTGTGATAAGTCCTTTATAAACACAGTTCAGTACAATATAACATCACGCATTATCCTTTATAAACTTTTGTACAAGCAGCATTTCAACTGCACAGTTATTCCTAATAGTTCATAATGAAGCATTGCCAGGAGGTCAATACCCATGGAGGTCAATAACAGTAGACCTATTATGTTTATGTGACTTTATTTCACTACTGTATCTGGTTTTAGTGCATGTGTTTGCACAATACAAGCTAATTCCGAAGCTTCCGTAAATTTGCATTATTTCCCAGCTTTCCAATTTCCATTCTTTCCAGGGGAAACTGGTGGGGTCATGCTCCGTACAAACATGGTCGCTCCTGCTCTGCATGTCCACCCAGCTATGGTGGAGGCTGTAAAGAAAACCTGTGCTATAAAGGTGCGTATCCAAAAAGCTGGAACCACTAATTTTGCATTAAACATATTATTTATCATTGCACAACTTTAAATAAGACTTTGGCTTGCTGAAATCTAAAATGTGTAAAATGTGACTTTTTTCATTTTGGATATGGAAACTTTTGGCAACAAAATTAGCTTTTTGTTTATACATTGTACATTTAAACTGGTGAAGTCATATGTCTGGTAAAACATCGAAGGGGCTTATGGTTTTAAGGACACCAAAAGAGCATGTTGTATATTTCACATATAGCGCTTGTTCAGTGAAATTCTTCTCAAGTTGAGAGTCTTTTAAAGTCTGAAACGAAATTACAGATGATGGATCAGACGGACACTACCCACCCCAAGAACCTGAAGAAACAAACTACATCGAGCCAGAAATATCACGAACTCAGAGACCCAAGCCAAGACAAAACACACCCACCTCCACTACACCCAACGCGGATCTAGACAGAAACGAAGTTGTCAATACTCAGCAGATGTGTAAGATGTGTTCATTTTTGTGACTGATAAAATACCAAGACTCTAATTTTGTGTTTGTCATTACAGTATATAACAACTATATATGTATAACACGTGCAAGCGAGTTAAAAAACGTTTTAACAGTTTGTAGTAAATTCTGAAAAAAAACAGCAACAGAGTTTTTAAATGCGGAGAACAAAAATAATCTGGAAGTCTTCATCGCTTTTCCGAAGGTAAAGGAAGAAAGTTATGTACAACGTAATCTGTGAGGTAGTTTTCGCTTTTCTTTATCTTCAAGGCAGCTTTCGTGTCCTGCTTGTGTGGGCTGCAAGATTTGTTTTTTTTTTATTTTAAATAATCTACTCTGGTAGTGTTTACTTTTGGTTAGCTTAAAACCTGTGGGTTTGAAATTGCTTCCTCTCCTGAAAAGGGGCAGTGGCTCAAAATCTGTCCTGTTGGGCAATATGTACTGTACATTGGAGATGGAATTTTTTTAAGCTTGTAACAGCAGAGCATTTTGTCATTGGTACAGTATGAACATTTGTGGAGTCGTTTAGCTAGCTTTGATCATAGTGTTTACATTTTGTTTTTCTTAGCTCAAATAGTCACATGTGAAACAAGACTGCGTGACAAATGCAAAGGAACAACCTGCAATAGGTGAGTAGAGTTTGACTGCTTCAGTAAAATCAATCTATTTTGTCCACTTTTAAAAATGTAATAGAATTTCCAACACTTCACCCTCTCCTCCTCACTTCAATACCAAAACATCTTATGTAATGTACATTTTTTGAAAGATTACAAGAACTTGATGAATTTGAAAAGATTTGATTTGTAATTGGTGATCCTTTCATTTTTTGTTTTCAGATATGAATGCCCTGCTGGGTGCTTATACAGTAAAGCAAAAGTCATTGGAAGTGTCTATTTTGAAATGGTAAGCAAATCTAAAATATTAGTATTCTTAATGCCAGTACACACAAAACATATCAAGGGGGGCTGTGTAGATTAGTAGTTAGTGCTATGAACTGCTAACTGGAACTATCCTTGATGGGGCATGACTTGAACCTTGAGTAAGTTATTACACTTCAATTACATCATTGCATCAGTAAAATGGCCAGATCTATAAAAAGGTATCATAGAAGTAGCTTTGAATAAGAGTAGCATCAACGACAGAAAAAAAACACATTTGAGAAGAAAAATAAAAAGAGTCAGTTTGCTAATGTGTGCCCATCAAGGCTGTATGGTTTATTCCTGAAAACGTCCTTTTCCATGTCCAACATACTGTACGATTGTATACTATTCTGTAAAAACAGTGGACTACATATCCCTCTCCAAATACAATTCCAGACCTTTGTGATGAAGAAATACTTCATTTTCTGTACTTCTCCTTTCTCTTTCAGCAATCCAGTATTTGCAGAGCTGCTATGCATTATGGAGTTATAGACAATGAAGGTGGCTGGTTAGATGTTACACGACTAGGAAGAAAGGAATACTTCATTAAATCCAATAAGCATGGGGTGCAGTCAATAGGGTAAGAGCAGTTCTTAGAAAAGGGTAGAATGTTTGAGAATTATATACTGTATGTTCAGTTTTAATTTGCATTTAGGCTGGTTCATCTGGAACTAAGATAGATTCGTTTGATATGAAGGCACCTTGAAATAAACAAAAGGGAACATGTAAGAGTAGTCTCAAATAAAATAAAAAAATTGACTAGTATTCTCTGCACTTTTCATTTCTTCAGTGTGCATTTACCGTTTCTGAGCTTCACTGAAGAAAAGCTCACGATAATGTCATGAGACAGTTTTTGGGTAAAAAGAGTCATAGCATGCATATTTAGTGCTAGTGTGTTTAAGCTTTGGTCCTAGTTTATGCCTCCTTTGGTGTCACTGGCAGAAAGTTGTGCGGATAGGTTGCAATGTGATTATAATATGCTGCTGAGGTACTGACAAATGTGTTTGTATCTACAGAAAATATCAGTCGGCCAATTCCTTTACAGTGTCAAAAGTAACAGGTTAGTTTTATTTATCCATTTTAATTCACTTGTTATTGTGGAGATGGGTAGGCAATGAATTGTAACCGATGTTTGTCTTATTGCAGTGAAAGCAGCAACCTGTGAGACAACAGTTGCACAACTATGCCCATTCGAAAAACCAGTCAGGCACTGTCCCAGGTAAACAATTCCTGTGTTTAACTGAAGTGAATACATTTTAGTTTTTTTTCCAAATATACATAAATATGCCGTAGGTAATGTAAATATCTCAATTCTTATAATTTCCTACTTTGGCTCATTACAGTATATACGGTGCCAAAACAAGGGAGCTCCAATGAGCTCAGCTTTTAAATCAAATTAAAACATTTTTTTCTCTTTTGTTTAAGGATATACTGTCCTCGTAACTGCATGCAGGAGAACCCACATTTTGCCCGTGTCATCGGAACCCGTATTTATTCTGATGTAAGTGTTTTGAAGAACATTGGTATTTTCTTACACACTTGGCAGCCAGGGTATACCAGTGGCTAAGTTTTCCCGTAGCTTTGACAATAGTGCACTGCAACAGTGTCAATGTGGATGGGAACACAACTTTGACCAACCTGCCAGTCTCGTGTCCCAAGAGCATGATGTGGTGCGGACCTCCACTGAGGTCAGTATAAGAAGACCTACGTCTTCTCTATGGCAAATGCAGAATGAGAATGATGCACTGAGCGGTTTGTTAATTGCTGTCAGCATTAAATCGTCAGCATGTTCGATTTAACCCAGGGCCACTGTCGTACTCGAATACAATAAGAATGACTTCAGTTGAAGTGTTATGCACATAAAAACGGCAAAAATAAAAGTGTGACTGTAGCAGTTTCAAATTCTCTCTGTCATAATATAGTACCTGTACATTTATTGAAGAAGCATTATTCACTGCCCATAATCAATACTTTGGCAGTGATTACAGTTTCCAAATCTGTCTTTACTAACCTTACACATTGGGATTGTGCGGTTCTGGCCTTTTTTTCTTTATAAATCTTTTTAAGCTACGTCTAGTTGGTTGGGATAGTTAACGGGCAGCAATTGTCAAGTCTTGTCACAGTTTCTTAATAGGATTCAAGTCAGGACATCGACTGCATTGCTCAAGGACATTCACTCTCTTTAAGTCACTCCAGTGTAGTTTTTGCCTTGTGCTTGGGCTCGTTGTCCTCTTGTAGGGTGACGTTTCATCCCAGTTTTTAACCATACTGAAACAGGGTTTTTTCTAAGATTTGCCTGTTCGTTGTTCCATCCATTTTCCCCTCAAACACGACAGCTTCACAATCCCCCTGATGAGGAACATTCCCCATAACATAATGCTGCTACAGCCTTCATGCTTGACAGTAGGGATAGTGCTGACGGGGTCATCTGCTGTGTTGGATTTATGACAGAGGTAACATTTTGCATGTAGACCAGGAAGTTCAAACTTTGTTTTGTCTGATCATCAAATGTTTTGCCACATGTTTGCCTTATCACTTCAGTGCTTTGTTACAAACCACATCTGGGATTTGAAATGTACAGTATGGAACTGAAAAAAACACGCCCTCTTTGTGAACGTCCTTTGTGACCAGGATATGTTTGATCCATTTTTTTTCTCATCTCAATCATTGAACTTTGTAGCTCTTTCAAAGCTGTTGTTTCAGTGTGTTTTAAAGAGCAGACATAAAGTCAGTTTGTCACTTATGATCTGTTACGGTCTGATGCTAAATGTGGTGATTTAACTGTATTAACTTTCTTGCTGTACTTTTAACAGAAATCCAGTATATGCAGAACAGCAGTCCATGCTGGTGTGATTCGGAACCATTTAGGAGGCTATATTGATGTGATGCCTGTGGACAAAAGAATACAGTACATTGCCTCATATCAAAATGGGATATTCTCAGAAAGGTACTGAAATAGGCCGATTCAGACTAAGAACATTCACACACACCATTCACATACCATAACATGATTATCAGGTCTCCTCATCAGGCTGTTCTGCCCTTTAAAGCAGTAAATAAGGTTTAGTTTTTTTTTATTGCTAGTGGAGACAGTGAAGGAGCAGTGGTGACAGAGCTGCCTGCCTCCTGTAAGCTTATAAAATCATAACCCCAAAAAAGCTGATTAGAAAAACAGCACCATACAAGAGTTGTTTCATAGGAATTTCTGGATAGAACGTTGCACTTTCAACTGGAAAACCTGCAACAATTTTCTTGTAAGAACTGGGGACAGGAAATAACTCAATCTGCACTTCATAAAGCTCTAATGATTGATACAGGCTGAAAAAAAAACCTTTTTGTTCTTCTGTGTACAGTTTGTGGAATGAAGTTGGTAAAATTCAGAAGTGATAAAATTTCAGCGATTTTCTTTCCAGCCTTTAAATATCAGTGAGTATTCTAACAATGGCATCAGAGAACTGTTTTCAGCAGTGTAGATGTCCTATGATGATGGCCCTTTTTTCTGAGTCAGCTTGACCTTTGACACTTTATAGAACAAAAACAAGCTTACTCCCATGCTTTGAGTGAAGATGAGCTCTGTAGCATCACACGCAATTCAGAGATCACATATCAGAAAAAAATGGGAGATTCTTTATCCAGTCTAAAATGTGGTTAAGCTTTCACAAAAAAAAAAAGTATTTCTTATGTAGTTAATTATTTCTATCTTAAATCTGTAGGCATAATACAAATTGGATATGGCAGTAATTCTTGCCTTTTTTTGCCCCATCTTTAAAGATATTGTCAGTCTGTCACTGAAAAGAGAAGGACTCACCTGTGGTGTACATGAGTACTTAAGTCCTGGAGATGTCAATGGGCTCAATTCATCATTATCCATAAGTAGAACAAAGGCACAGTGGCTTTGTCCTCTTCTACATAATGTTGATGCCATACTAATTAAACTGGAGGAATAATATATTTTATTTTTTCCCTTTAAGATTTATGATGCACTTTGTAGTTGAACTCTTGCTTTGTGTTTACAGTGCATGTGGTCGGAAAGCTAAACCCAAACTCATCTTCAGTTCCATTTTTCTCCTTGCAGCCTTCAAAACCCCCCCGGAGGCAAGGCATTCCGAATTTTTGCTGTTATTTGAATGGCTCACGTGGACTATCCCAAAAAACGGAGCACTTGGCACTGAGCAGGCGATGATCACAAACGTTCCCCCCACATTTCTGATGGTGCATAGCACTGACGCCAGTAACTCTTCCCAGTGCAATCAGAAAGCTTACTCTTTTACAGATTTGGATCACAAAAAAAAAATAACGACGATGATGACATTGTTCACTCTTGCCTCTCCTTAATTGGCAACATTACCATTCTTTGTGACCATGTGTATTTTATGTATTTACCATTCTGTGCTGTAAATATGTCAAAATGTGTATCAAATGTGTTTGTAGTGATTGGAATTTGTTTTGCTAGCTAGCATCTCCCATCTAAAAACACAACTGGGTCTGTTACAGAAATGTTCTTTTGGAGTAAAAGCACTTACAGTTTCATATCCACCAATTCTTTTTTTAGCACATCACAAATATGACGTACATAGTGCTATTGAAATGTGGTTTAAAGACTGGAGTTGTTTGTGATTTGTTAAAAAAAAGTAACATTAAGCTTTTAGTTTTACATGGTTATAAGTACTATTCAGTCAAAGGATGCTGCTAATTCTTATTTTGTATAAAATAAATTTATTAACTGCTATTAGACTCTGAAACTGTAAAAGCCTGGCTAATACTCCTGCAGGCCAGGATGTATAACGCTATAAAAATATTTTTAAAGGTACAATATTTGCTTTCACCTCTCTAAGAGATACCAAGTGGTGAGAAGTTTGATATGCTTAGATTTTACAATTTCAAGATGTGTAAAAGCATACTGTATTGATGAAATACTGTTTGTATGAAAGTTATATTGTGGTCGAAAAATGGAAAGTGGTTTAAAAGTTTATTTATATAACAGCACTTTGCTGTTTAAAGGTGCTGTTTCATTAACCCCATATGTACTTTTAAAAAATCTTTCCTCTTGTGGTTGCCTGTATGTTAGTGATATGTACTACCTCACATGCCCAGATAAGCTTTGCGATGTGTTCTGTTTTCACTAAAGGTACTATTCAAATGTTTGTTTTTCTTCAGATTTTTTTCTTTTCTCATAAGAGAGGGTGCATGTGCTTATTGAGCTGTATAGTACAACAGCAGCCCTAACCCTAATGTTGCTTAAGCTGAACAGTCATTGTGAACTGCCATTTCATCTTGGTTCACCCTATTAATGTTTGTTGTCAGTCCAGGTGTCCATGAAAGAATTTCCTTATGTACTTCCAGAGACCAGCACTGGTCTATCCTGAAAGCAATGCTAATGCTAGCACTGACACTACCAGATCTTTTTTAGTTGGAACAAATAAACCAGCCCATTTCCTGGTTCTATTGACAACCAGTTTTCTACACTCATTGCCCACCATACATGTCAAACTTGAGATTTGATTTTTATTCCTTGTGTACTTCCTCAGTTTAGCTCTTCTTCCTGCCGAGTTCTGGAACATTGCACCTAAAATGTGCAATGTGACAAGGTAACCATAGCAACATCAATGTACATTATAGTATGGGCTCCATGAGGAAGAAGAACTTTATCCAATTGTCTTTGAAAGGCAGGAAGGGAATTACAAAAGAAACTTGTATCTTTACAATGGGATAAGCCTTTTTTTTGCAGGATAAAAGTATTTTCCAGTGTCCTTTCATCAGATGTCCCTGAAGATGTTCATTGAAAATTGAGCAGTTTATCCAATATTCAGGCATCATGAATGCATTTTATATCGACCTCAATGTGGTATACAGGAACAAGGATAGGATTGAGTTTATAACTTTATTACCCCATATTCAGTAATGTTTAGTTATTTATTTATTCAATTAGGCTTTGTCATTATACTTACACAGGTGCATAGTATAATGAAAAGTGTTTTTCAGTCTCTCAGGTGCAGTATATACAGAACAGCAGACATGACAATAGACAGTAAATATAATAACCATGTAAACAATGGGTATAGACCAGTATGACAGTACCCATATCTGTTAAAAACGATGCAAAGTATACAAACAGTGCAAAATAATACAGCGTTATCAAATTGTGCAACTCAATCAAGTACAGTTTTATGTTCAAGTTCAGCTTACATTCAATTGTCGGAGGTATTGTGTATTTAGTGGTGTAGGAGAACAGCCGTTGTGGGTACAGGAAGAAGTGAGGAGAGATCATAATTTGGTGAGTGGGGGGGGTCAGCAGGCAGCTTGACAACTCCGGGGAAGAAGCTATTTTGGAGTCTTGTTGTGTGCAACTGGATTGTCCAGAATCTTCTACCAGATGGTAGGAGGATGAACAAGTTTTGAGTGAGGTCAGTCATAATTTTTTCAGACACCTGGTGTTGTAGATTTCCTGGATGGATGGTAAGGCATTGTCGATGATGTGTTGGGCAATTTTGACCACCCGCTGCAGGGCCTTGCGGTCAGATGCGGTGCAGTTACTGTACCTGACTGTGACGCAGCTGGTCAGTATGCTCTCCACCGTTCTGTAGAAGTTGCTGAGGATCTGTGGATGCAGGCATATTGTCTTCAGCCTTCTAAGAAAGTACAGCCGCTGTTGTGCCTTCTTGATGAGACTGGTGGTTTTGAGTGCCCATGTGAGGTCCTCAGTGATGTGAACACCTAGGAATTTGACGTTCTTCACCATCTCCACCATAGTCCCTTTGATGTAGATGGGGGAGTGGACTTTTCCTTGTCTCCTGAAGTCAACGATCAGTTCTTTAGTTTTACTAATGTTGAGACATAAGTTGCTGATTCTGCATCAATCTGCTAGTGTTTTATATCCTCCCTGTAGGAAGTGACATCATTGTCAGTGATCAGATCCATGACTGTGGACCTGTACTGTCAGCATACTTGATGATAGTGTTTGTGCTGAACTTAGCAGTACAGTCGTGGGTTAACAGGGAGTAAAGCAGTGGGCTGAGCAATCAGCCTTGAAGGGCACCAGTATTAAGGGTGAGCGTGTTGGAGGTAAGGTTGCCAATCCTGACAGTCTGGGGTCTGCTGGTGAGGAAGTCCAGGAAGTCCAGCTACAGAGGATGGTATCTAGACCCCGAGCACTGAGCTTGGTAACATGTTTTGTGGGTTGATGGTGTTAAATGCTGAGCTAAAGTCAATGAACAGCATTCTTGCATAGGTGTTCTTTTTATCCAGGTGGTTTAGTGTGGTGAATAAAGCTGTAGAGATTGCATCCTCCATGGAGCAGTTTGTGCGATAGGCAAGCCGGTGAGGATCAAGTGTGATGCTGGCCTTAATGTGTGGTATATTTCAAAACATTTTATTATGATGGTGGTGAGTGCCATGGGGCAGAAGTCATTCAGGCATGTGGGTGCAGATCTTATTGGTACTGATACGATGGTGGTTGTCCTGAAGCAGCTAGGTACAGTAGCCTGGGCCAAGGACAGGTTGAAGATGTCAGTGCAGACATCAGCTGTCTGTCAGGCATGTGTTCTGAGTACCCGGCCAGGGATTCCATCAGGTCCAGCAGCTTTTCATGTGTTCACTCTTCTTAGTGATTTCCAGACGTCTAGCTTGGATAGTGTGGGGGGTGGGATGGCAGGGGAGTTTGTGGTCCAGATGGTTGGTTCCGCCTCTTTAGTCCATGTTTTAACAGTTATAACTGATGCCTAGGTGCATTTGAGTAATTGTCTGTAGGCTGGGAGTAAGAACAGAGAAATATGGTCAGATTGTCCCAGATGGGGGTGAAGTACAGCTTTGTAGGCACTGGGTACGTTAGTATAAACATGGTCTAGTGTGTTGTTTCCTCTGGTGGGGCAGTCAACATGTTGGTGGTAATAGGGCAGGACTGATTTTAGGTTTTCCTGATTGAAATCTCCTGAAACAATAAAAACACCATCAGGGTGTGCTGATTCTTGTTTACTAATACCTTTGGATAGCGTTTTGACTTCTTCCTTAGCATTAGTATTAGGAGGGATGTACACAGTGGTTATAATAACCATCGTGAATTCCCTAGGTAGGTAGAAGGGTCAACATTTTATCATTAAAAATTAAAAAGTCGGGTGAGCAGTGGGTCGTGATTTCTGTTGCATCTCTGCACCATGCTTGGTTGGCATAAATACACAGGCCTCCTCCTCTATTTTTACCAGAGGCGGCCTCCGATGCCAGATTTCCAAATGCCAGTTTTGTGAATAATCTTACAGGACTCTTAGCAAATGACTTTTTCCTTTCCATCTAACTTGTTTATTCATAATTGGGCATTCTTACTGTACCAAAGACAAATAATTAATTTAAGTCACACAATTGTGATGCATGATTTAAATGTTTGGAAATTTATGTTGTTAGTCCAGACCCGTGTTTAATCACACTGTGGATGCTCAATGGCCAAGCATCCTGTTTGTTCCCCAATCTTGTTCCATCATTTCAAGTTACTGTATCACCCTCCTGACTGCAAAAATAACTAGTTGGGAGGGTGTTTCATCCAATTAATTTATCATGGTTGGCAAAGCCATTAACATTTATTTAGGAATGACAGAGTGATATCTTGGCAGAGTCACTAAAGAGGTTTTATGTAGCTTGGCATAACACTAGTAAAACTTTTTTACTGTACAATACATCTTCAGAATCTTAGCATCTGCATGGTTGAGTATGTTCAAATAAACGTCACAAAAATAAATCAAACTGACCAGGGTTTCTTCAACTGCCTTCACCCTGTGAGAAGATCTCATTTCAGACTTTAAAAATAACATTTAGCACCATTTTCAAAACATCATATCTCAAATTTTCAGTACAAAACCAAATCAATATTTATGTTCAGCATCACATGGACATACATGATAAAAACATTACATGGACAATTAAAATCCTGCTATAAAATATGACCTGTTTGTTTTGCCATTATAATTGTTGCTTTTCCCCCATAGATTTATGATCACTGTGATTCACTGAGATACATTACATCAGAGAGTAATTTTCCATGTGAGAAGAGACTTGATAGCAGAAAATCCATTATTTCTGCCTCTGTATGCTTAAGCCAGACACCTATAGCTGGCAATGGGAACGGTAGAGGTTAGTTCACATTTTCCAAAAAGACACAAGTGTAATGAACTGGTTCTGCAGTCTGTGTTGGATGGTTTAGTAGATCCTTTTCGAAGCTGTAAGGGCTGAGGTAGACATGAGGCGTAGTACGGGGAAACACACACAGGGGTTTAATGGTGCAATAAAGTAAACAGTGAGAGTTCGTGAGACAGTGAACAGGGAAATAAACAGTGGCATCCAAATCTGAGCAGGTCCAAAACACCAAAACTGGGTCAGGGCACAGTCCATGAGTCCATTTTCAAAAGATCCATCCTGGGACGAGACAAGGTAAAAATCCCCGGGAAGGGGAAAACACTGACACATGAACTTGGAGATCCTGGGATTTCGGGGCGAAGACCTCCAGATCCTGGGGTCAGAAACGGGAAATGTCGGGGATGTCAAGCAACGGATGTGGGGCGACCTGGTGCTAGGCGGGCCTCATGACATCCACATCCTAATGCTGAGCCCTGAGCCCTGGAGGCGCTGAAAATAAATAAGGCAACAAGGCACACCTGGAACACATACTGTATAAACAATCACAAGGAACTATAGACATGAGTAAATGGAGCCCCCTGTAGGGGTGGAATGTCAACTGTGACAACCAGAAGCCAAAGTTTATCTTTAAACTTGATTCAAACATCCCCTCATCCATCAATGATCAAATAATCTCCTTTTAACCCCTCTATCCATTTACTGGTTCTATTACTGTAATTCCCCAGAATGTAAACCCATATTTCTTTTCGTTTTCTTTCCTCCACACACCCGGTCAAGATGCCTAGTGCAATTCAAAAATATAATTCAAGAGTGGGCAAAATTCCATGTAGAAGACAAGAATATTACAAGCAGGTAGCAAAAAAGTAAACTTTGAATAGAAAAATTGGAAATGCTCTGATTAAAGAGGCTTATAAAAGACTTAGGTGTTTGCATTTACATCTTCTATCTAGACAGTGTGTGGAAGAAATAAACAGGAAAACCACATGTACTGTAGGATACACAGTGAAAAGTTT